CTCCCAGCGGAGCATCCTCACCGGCTTCTTCCCAAGAGGGCTTGAAATGTTTCCGGCCATGTTCAACCAGAGAAAGTCCACAAAAAAAAAAAAAAAGGAGAAAATGTACTCAAGGATGTAGTGAAATGTGCCATTTTTTGCTGACATTAGGGCAAGTGCACCATCTCAGAAGAGGAAGGTGATGGCGGGTGTTGCTGCATGGAGAATTTTAGGAATAAATCATGGAGGTCAAACGCATGTTAGGGAGGGAAAGTAAATGAATGGCACCACTTGCAGCCCTCCAGTAAGGATGTGAGGGGCATAGAGGGGGGATAGCCTCTGGAAGTAGCTTATTCGGTGCTGGGCTGCCGGAGAGCCGCGGAGGAGGTGCGGGAAGGTGTCTCTTGGCCCTCTTCCATCCACACAGCTCTGCTCCTTGTGAGTGACCCCATTGCTCTGCCCTTGCTCTCTTCTCCCAGTACTCCTGGAAGCTGGTTCATCCCACGGATAAGTTCTGTAACAAGGATTGCCCGGGCACCGCGGAGGAGTATGAGAGAGCCACCCGCTACAACTACACCAGCGAGGAGAAGTTTGCCTTTGTGGAGGTAGGTGCAAACACTGCCTCCAGTGCCTTTAAATGAAAGGATGATCTCTTAGCTAAGGCAGTGGCTGGTGTATCAGGGTCCAAATCCCTACCATGCCCCAAGCCCTGGTGGGTGACCTCTTGCAAGTCCTGGAGAGCTACTTTTTAAAAGGTATAATTGCTTTCTGTGGGAGCTGGATGCTCGCGGACCTTGGGGATCTCCATCCGAGGACTGGAGGTTTCACCGAAGCGGGGGCTAATACTGCTACGCTGTTCAGGTAGGTGGGAACTGGTTGTCTGCGTTTTCTCAGGTCATTGCCATGATCAAGGGCCTGCAAGTGCTGATGGGCCGGATGGAGAGCGTCTTTAACCAGGCCATCCGAAACACCATCTACGCCGCGCTGCAGGACTTTGCCCAGGTGACGCTGCGTGAGCCGCTCCGTCAGGCCGTCAGGAAGAAGAAGAACGTCCTGATCAGGTCGGGATGTCGGTCTCTGACTGTATCTCAAATGCAGACATCCAGAATAGCCCTGGGGGTCAGCCTCTCTAACCCGCTGTATACCATCTCCCACGTCGGGCAGGCGCCCGTCAGCAATGCATTCAGAAACAATTGGTACAAACTGGTTGCCAATGCCCCTGAGACAGTCAGCATGTCCAGTCCAGCCCAGTCCTCCCAAAGCGACCTTGCGTGAGCAGCTCGTGCCTGTCTGTCTGGCTTTTTCCATCCCCTATGGATGATAAAGGCTGGAAGAACTAGGATTATTTAGTTTGGAGAAGAAAAGACGGGTGGGGAGGGGGATTTGATAACAGTTTTCAAATACTTGAAGGGTGATAACAAAGAGGATGGAGATGGGCTTTTCTCCATGCCCGCTGGGGATGGGACTAACAGCAATGGCCCTCATGTCTATGAAATCTGTGCAGTCCTGGAGGTTGAGCAAACCCTTGGCTGGGATGACGTAGGGCTGGACTAGGCGGCCTGGTGAGGTCCCTTCCAGCCCTGCGTTCCTACGATCCTGCTGCGTGCGTGGTTTCCCCTGCAGTGAAAGTCTGACTTGAGCATTTTGCTGTCCCCCTCCCAGCGTCCTTCAGGCCATTCGGAAGACAATTTGTGACTGGGAGGGAGGCCGCGAGCCCCCGAACGACCCCTGCCTGAGAGGCGAGAAGGACCCCAAGGGCGGATTTGATATTAAGGTCCCGCGGCGAGCGGTAGGGCCGTCGAGCACGCAGGTAGGTCCAAGCTGTCCCATTCTGTGGGTGAAGCAGCTCAACCACAATGTTCTCTTTTTTAGTCCATCTTTGATCCTAAAAACCTCTGTCGTTGCCTTTGTGCATGGTTTGCTTTGCAGTGCTTAGGCTGCCTTTTTAGGGACCTAATGGCTTCAGACTGGGCACATCTACACGTGCAAGTAGCAAATTTACTGCGCGCTAGACTAATTTACTGTGCAGTAAGCACCTGCACGTGTAGGTGGTGACACTTTACTGTGCAGTAGATTAGTCTATTGCGCAGTAAAGCATCTTGTGTAGACACAGTCACTGATAGTGAAGTCAGCCCACAGACTATTGCTAGGAGCTGTGTGGCCCGAAGAGCCCTATCATCACTTTGTGATGACTACTTTTTTTTTAAGCTGTACATGGTCCGGACCATGCTGGAGTCGCTGATCGCAGACAAAAGCGGCTCAAAGAAGACGCTGAGGAGCAGCCTGGATGGGCCCATTGTGCTGGCCATCGAGGAGTTTCACAAGCAGTCCTTCTTCTTCACACACCTGCTTAACATCAGTGGTGAGGCCACAACCAGGGAGGGGTGAATCCTGCCCTCTCGGGCTGTTTCTCCATACGCCAGTAGCGTCTTGATTAAGGATGATTTATCCAGCAATGGGTATGGACAGGGGTGGGTGGTGGGGGGTCTAGTTAAGGCGCTGAACCTGGTTCATATGAAATGGCGGGGGGGGGGTCTCTTCTCATCTCTGCCACAGGCTCTCTAGATAGCCTTGGTCAAGTTCCTGAACCAGGTGTCCCAGTTGTTAGGCAGGGGTAGTAATCCTTCAAGTTCTTTGCCACCGAGGGGATGAGATACCGCAACCATTTGGTGTAGTTTAAAAACAGTGTTGGCAAAGAACAGCCTAACCCCTAGTTGAATCAGGCCTCCCGTCCCTTGCTGTCGGATTCCCTGGGGCTTTCCTTCCTCGGTAACTTCCCCGTCCTCCCGCTGCGGTGGGGCGGGACGTCCCGTGTGTTTCCAGAAGCCCTGCAGCAGTGCTGCGACCTGTCCCAGCTCTGGTTCCGCGAGTTCTTCCTGGAGCTGACCATGGGCCGCCGCATCCAGTTTCCCATTGAGATGTCTATGCCGTGGATACTCACGGACCACATCCTGGAAACCAAAGAACCCTCCATGATGGAGTAAGCATCTTGGATGTGTCTCCGTTCGCTAGCTTTCTGCAGCCCAATAAGGGTTAGCATTTAGATGCAGCTGCGTGATCCCGTAGTGTGTAGTCAAGGGGGTGACCAGTCCTTTTGTACAGCGCCTAGCACAGTGGGGTCCATGATTGAGACTCCCAGGGCATGAGAGTTGTCACCATTTGTTATAAAGTGAATGTTTCCGTATGAAAAGACAAGGAGCAATGGGCTCAGGTTGCAGCAAGGGAAGGTGAGGTTGGATATTAGGAAAAACTTTACCACTGGGAGGGTGGTGAAGCACTGGAGCAAGCTACCCAGAGAGGTGGTGCAGTCTCCATCCTCGGAGGTTGTTAAGACCTGGGTAGACAAAACCCTGGCTGGGATGATGTAGTTGGGGCTGGTCCGCTTGGAGCAGGGGCTTGGACTAGATGCGACCTCCCGAGGTCCTTACCAACCCCCTGTGCCTTGCTGAGACAGAGGTCGAGACGTGCCGAGGTAACTTTGTCTAGCTAGAAATGCACAAAAATGTTTTTAAAGCATAGCCGGGATCTTGCCTTATGTGGGGAAATCCTTAAAAAGCACAAGGCCAGCTCTCCTTTAGCTATTTCCACTATGAGAGGGAATATCCATAGGGGATGGAGAGAGAGGATCTCGCAGGAGGAGTCTCCAGCAGTCCTTTTGGGCTTGGGGTGGTGTGCGTGGTTGCATTGCCTCTGCTTTTCCTGCCAAGATGAACATCACACTAAGCAGTGATTTGTTCTCCTCCCCAGATACGTCCTCTACCCCTTAGACCTGTACAACGACAGCGCCTATTACGCCTTGACCAAGTTCAAAAAGCAGTTCCTGTACGATGAGATTGAAGCTGAAGTGAGTTCTGGGTGGCTGGATTTACCTATTTCCTAAGGGCCTGATCTGCAGTAAGGTCCATCTTTGTGGATCCAAGGAAAGCAGACTATTAAGATCATGGAGAAAGAGTCTCAAGAGGGTTGAGATGTCCACGGACAAAGAGGAAGCAAAGGGTATTGTGAGAATTAAAGTCAACTGGAGATGGAAAGCTTGGCTTTTCAATAATAAGTAATAGGAGAATAAGAGAGAGTGACAAAGGCTCAGTTGTCCTATTTCTTTATGCCATGAGCAGGGCAGGCCAGTTTCCAAGGGATGTGAAATGCAGGTTGTCATGCTTTGGGACTAATAGCCCTGTGCTAAACAGACATAAGCCTACGTTAGACTCTTATTAGATGCTATTTATGCCACTATGAGATATGTACTTCTCTCTTCCTCAGGTGAACTTGTGTTTTGACCAGTTTGTGTACAAGCTGGCGGATCAGATCTTTGCCTATTACAAAGCCATGGCGGGC